GAGGACGCAGTTCGAAGTTCCCATGAAAGGGAACGTCTCAGGTTACTTATGTAACCATGGTTCCCTGAGTAGGGAGCGAGACACTGCGTCCTCTAGGTTTCTTGCCATGCTGCGAACGCAAGCTTCAGACGAAGAAGTGAATGATGTGTGCTCCCGGCGCCTATTTATACTATAGTCGCACCGGTAGTGACGTCATGGCTGTCGCCGGCCAACGAGTTGGTGTTTTTTCAATGTATGCTTCAGACACGGGTCACGACAAGGCGTCCCCCATAGCGACCCCTAGAGGACGCAGTGTCTCGTTCCCTACTCAGGGAACCATGGTTACATATGTAACCTGAGACGTTTTTTAATGTGGTGTGTATTTTAAATGGTTTTCTTTTAAAGAGTCTGTCTCAAGGTGGATCTTTCTTGCGCTCTCTCTAGAGAGAATGTGTCCTGTATCTGTTTGTGTGAGGGTGTGCGAATTTCAAATTTACATTTATCGATCATTGGTGTCACTTCAGAGAATTTGTGCAGATCCTTAGTAATAGTAATATATATTTAATGTATCTACACTGCTGTTCAAAAGTAAGATTTTTAATGTTTTTTTTTTTAAAGTCTCTTAAGCTCATCAAGGCTGCATTTATTTGATCCAAAATACAAAAAAAAACAGTAATATTGTGAAATATTATTACAATTTAAAATGATGGTTTTCTATTTGAATATATTTTAAAATGTAATTTATTCCTGTGCTTTAAAGCTACATTTTCAGCATCATTCCTCCAGTCTTCAGTGTCACATGATCCTTCAGAAATCATGATAATATGCCTATCATTTGTGCAGCTTAATATTTCACAATATTAGTTTTTCTGTAATTCTGATCAAATAAATGCAGCCTTGATTAGCAGCAGAAACTACTTCAATAAACATTAAACACCTTACTGATAATACTTGTAATATTAATATCTTGTTGTTATTTGAAACAACCCAATACATTCATGTATCTTCTTACCTTTGGGTATTTTGAAGATAGAGGTTATCCTGACTTTAAGAGGTTGTTTATGATGATTTTTAAGAACAGTCTTTTTAGGACGTTTTGTCTTTAGAACAATCTTAAGAAGAAATGTTTTTGGGGAAAACATTTTAGACTAGAAAATGAGATAATTGTAGTTAAAAAGAATTTTGTGAATCAGGCCCTCGAATACATACTAGCATACTGTTTATCTCATACTGTACAGTATATATTTTACACTTCCCACTTTTTATGTAAAAAAGCAATATGATTTTATATGGTCACTATGTGCAGTACTGTATTTTATAGTGAAACAATGTTTCAAACAGTAATGTTACATGATCTCATTACGTCACATTTAGTTCAGCAACTGGCGTCCAGATATCATCAAATCAGCATTTTTATTTTTCTATGAATGCTTGAGTTAAGGAGATAAGACATAGTCATCACATTGGAAAAGGAAGTCAAGCATGCTGCATTGTGGGATATACAGATACAGTTATCCACGCACTGTGCCGTGGTTATAAACGGCACATTTTAGATTAATCTGGTTATTTCATAAATAGAGGAAATGTTCCTAGTGAGCACAGAATACATACTATTTGTGAGAATGAAAATAGTAGTTAGTAAACGTAGTATGTAGTATGCCATTCACAGCCTGCAAAAACAATACATGTAAAACAACTAAGACTGTATGAAGGGTAAAGACTGTGAGAGAGGTTGTTGACTGATATTTGTATGTGTTTTGTCAGACTGTCAGACGTGCGAGTGTGCGTGTGGCCGTCTGCAGTCCGAGCCTGACATAACAAGCGCCAAAGAGGAAGCATCCATCCAAACAGGTGCTCTCTTTCTTTCACTTCCTGTTCAAACTCTAGATAGGTCAGAGATGGCTTCACTGTCCTCCTTTGAGGCCTTACTGTAGCTGGAGCTCAACAGAACATAGTTTTCCTAATAGACCTGCATGGGATAAAAAGCTGGCATTGAAGCTGGCCAATCCATGAATAGTTCTTCCCCATATCAACACTTTAAACACTACATTTGGTTTCCTGGTAAGCTGATTATAAAGACTACTTTCAGAGAGTCGAGGTATATCTAGAAGATATTCCTTTAATGGCTTCTGCATCAATAAAACATCACCGAAAGTGAACCGAATACATTTAAATATATTGTGAAATATAATGTAATGTGCATAATGTTCACTGCTTGTTTTAGGTCAGTGTAGCCAGCAGTGTACATCCACAAGCTGTTTGCTGGTTGAAGAGGAACAGAAAGTGGCAGACAGACAAAACACAGATATACAGTCGACGAGACACATGCTCGTGTGTCTGTTACTGACCGTCAGTCTGCTCGCTGTGAGTACAGTCGTTTACCATGCACGTGCAATTAATAATCTGACATTACACCTGTTACAAACAAGTACCACGGTCAATCGTGTGATGTGTCTTTGTTTTGGTCCAGATGTATTCATTTAAATAAATTAATTAAAATTACAGCTTAAAGAGACAATGACTTGAATATACCACATTTTTGTGCCACACTAAAAAGTGATACAAGTGCCCAGAGACCGTAACCAAAAAAGATTTTTGCTTGCTTTTGTATATGATACCATGCTTTTTTTTTTTTTTTTGAATGGCTCATTTCATTATGCATACCACTGTTATCTATGGGTGGAGTTTCACTGTTACGTACAGTTAGAGTCTAGTCATTCTCCTGTTTTGTAGAATCTCTCCAGCTGTCTGTGGTGGCTCTTTAATAAAGATCCAGGACGGCTGTATCTGGAGCTGCAGTTCTTCTGTGTTGTGGTCAACTATGGGCAGGTAAACCAGTGTCACATGTGTTGTGCTGAAGTCTAATATGTTACAGCTTTTACTGAAACATGCGTCTCTCATTGTATTTTTCCACTGTAGGGCCTCATTTCATTTGCCTTTTTTGGCCTTGACAAGCATTTAATTATTTCTCCATTCAAAAAGAGGTAAGAGTTTAATTAAAAGGGTCTTATGATGATAAATCAAATTGTCCTTAATCTTTTGAGATATTATGAGAGCATACTGTCTTTTTCTGAAATTACAACTTCCTCTCCAGTCCAAAAAGAGCATTTATTGAGACTAAGCTGATTTTTTTATTTTATTTTTTTAACAACTTAGATTAGTCAGATGAATTCATTTGAATGCATGCACAGGTGACAATCCACATTTACATTTAGTAGACGCTTTTATCCAAAGCGACTTACAAATGAGGACAATGGAAGCAATCAAAACTAACAAAAGAGCAATATGTAAGTGCAAATGGCAAGTCTCGGTTAGCCTAACACAGTACATGTAGCAAGGTATTTATATATATATATATATATATATATATGTATGCATATTTATGCATTTATGAAAAATCAGTGCATGCAATTCTTTTTTGGACAGTTCTAGATTTAGTTGATACTCCAGGATTGGTTTGAGGCAACTGATGAAATGGTAAAATATGATACACAGTAAAACACTTCAAAATAGTTTGATGTTCTATCAGTGAGGATTGATTTTATAGTAAATTAAGAAGTTAAATAATACAGTATTACTGAATTTAAAACTAAAAACTTTTAATGTATTCATTTAAGTACTTTTAGGATTCTTAAGATGTTGAGTGTATCTGAGGATAAAAAGCAGGTTTCTTGCTCTTATATTGTCATTTTAAATGGAATGTAGACTGCTAATAGCACATAATAAATGCTGTAATGTTTCTATGCATTGCATATCCTCTTTTTACCTACAGTACCTGCTGCCAAGTCACGGTTAGGTAATACGGGAAAAGCTATATAGGGAATATATTCTCAAAAAGCAGAGAAGAACTGATGATAATAGTGTGTTGTTTCTGGCTGTGTGTAGCACCTGCTGCTCTGCAGAGAATTCGGCTGGAGCGAGGAACAAGATCCCTGATCTCTGAACAGTGGCACATTTCAGTTAGGATTGCTTTGTGATCCTGTTACAGTGTAATGCAGCATTGCAAAAAGCTGTTATTGAAGGATGGAGAAGATAAAAACAACTTGACAGCAAACCCACAGCACAAAGCTGTCTCTCATTGTACATGCAAATATGGCATTTTCATAAGTCTTGACAGCACAGCTGCCTGTTTAATTTTAACGGTCAGAGAGAGGGTAGAAAATTGGCACAAAAAACTTTATTGACATTTATAAGTGGTGGGGAAAATGAATAAATAATTGAATGGGCCGTATTCCACATTCTTGTAGCATTTGTAGTGAAATGACCAATTTAATGCCATTATAATGTTAAGGTTGCTTTTTGAAAAACTTTATTTTTTTTTAATGTTTTTGTGGCTTTTCTTCAATAAATGGTCTGGATAGTGGGAAGGAGCTTTTATTTAAAAAGAGGAAGAAAGATGCTGTTTACAGGAGTAGCTCACCCAAAAATGTAAATTTGCTGAAAATATCCTCACCCTCAGGCCATCCAAGATGTATTTGAGTTTGTTTCGTCATCAGATTTGGAGAAATGTAGCGTTACATCACTTGCTCAGCAATGGATGCTCTGCAGTGAATGGGTGCCGTCAGAATGAGAGTCCAAACAGCTGATAAATACATCACAATAATCCACACCTCTCCAGTCCATCAGTTAACATCTCGAGAAGCCAAAAGCTGCGTGCTTGTAAGAAACAAATCCATCATTAAGATGTTTTAACTCAAAATCAGTCCTCTATCCATAATATTGCTTTCTCCAGTGAAATATCAGGAGAGAAATATGCACAGATCAAGCACCGTTTATAAGCAAAAACAGTCCATAACAGCTCTAAACAAATATGATGTGAGAGGAGGAGATGGACTTTTTCCACTGGTGGAAGCGTTATTATGGATTATGGATTCATATTTTGACCAGAAGTGACAGTTTAAATTTAAAACGTCTTGATGGATTTGTTTCTTACAAACAAGCAGCTTTTCTCTTCACCAGATATTAACTGATGGACTGGAGTGGTGTGGATTACTTGTGGATTATTGTGATGTTTTTCTCAGCTGTTTGGACTCTCATTCTGACGGCACCCATTCACTGCAGAGCATTCATTGCTAAGCAAGTGATATAATGCTACATTTCTCCAAATCTGTGGAAACAAACTCAAATACATCTTGGATGGCCTGAAAATTTTCATTTTTTTGTAAACTTTGAATGTGAAAATGTAAAGGTGTTGTACATGCAGTACACATAACTAGTGTAATAATGAAGTGGTCTTCTATATGTTGTTAAAGGTTAGCGAGCCTGTGGCAGGGTTGGGGTCAGGAGGTCACAGGCTCTGCAGTGTCTGAGGAGATCAGACTGACCTGCACTCAGTTCCTCACATATCATAAAGAGCAGTGCGTTAAAGACATCGTTCACAAGAAAAGGTGAGAGACCCTCCACTGCTATCCCTGTGTTTTTTTTGCACTGGATTATTTTAATTTGACCATTTGTTTGCATGCATTGATTTCTTTTTGCAATTATAGTCTAATTTTGCATGTTACATCATGTTCATTAAAACATATTTGCATGAATCTTAAGTTTTTTTTTTTTTTTTAAAGCATGACCTTTTTTGATTTATTTTTCAAACCTCTTCCTTGGCTTTCTGATCATCTCTCATTTCCTGTCTATCTGCTGCTTGCTACTCTCTCCTCTGCCTGCCTGTCTCTCTGTCTCCTTGTCTGTCTGGTTTGGGTCGGGTGCAGTCGGTGACACATGCTCTGCTATGCAGGTGTGGAGAGAGAAGCACCACAGAGACGTTTCTGGGCAGTGACATGGTGTGCTGGCTGCAGAGCGTGGGATTGGCCAGCGACCCGGGCGAAGCGCTAGAGTACGGCTCACGTCTGCTGGAGGGCGGAGTCATTCAGCACATCACCCTTGAGCACAGCTTCCTTGATGAAGCCCTGCACTACCGCTTCACATAGAGGAGTCAAACCGCTCCGGCTGGCAGACTGACAGTGGTTTGAGCATTTTAGCCAATGACCCAGCGCACATTTAAAGGGTTAGTTCACCCAAAAATGAAAATTAGCCCACAAATTACTCACCCTCAAGTCATCCTAGGTGTATATGACTTTCTTCTTTCAGATGAATCCAGTCGGAGTTATATTAAAAAATGTCTTTGATCTTTCAAGCTGTTTAATGGCAGTCAGCGAGTGTTGCATGCATCAGTCCAAAAGAAGTTAAATAAAAATCGCCCATCCATAAAAAAATGTCTCACACGGCTCCGGGGGG